ATAAAGATCAGCCTCTCATATTTTAACTATACCACTTAAACACGAGCAGGAGTGATTTATCAGACTGCGAGTGTTTTAAATGGCTTAAAAAACGACGACACCTACCTGATGAGGTTATTGGCAAAGTAATTTTAAAAATAAACGTTGTCTAAGCCGAGAAAATCAAAGCTAAAATTTATGTAAATTAACATGAGTTTTTATGACATATATAACCATCGACACGGTAGTGATTTTCTTTGTCTTTTCCTCGTGAATTATTAATGAGTTTTTTAATGTATGAAAGGACACAACAAGGAACGAAAATGGACATGTTCAGCTCAAGCTCGTGCCAGATGGTTCCTCGCCCTTACCTTGGTCCGCAACCCACAACTAGCGTCGGACCGTAAACCAAGCTCGTGCCAGATGGTTCCTCGCCCTTACCTTGGTCCGCAACCCACAACTAGCGTCGGACCGTAAACCTGGTGGTGTTGAAGCACCTCAACCTGTTCAAGGTGGTTGTGTCAAACATGGCGACGTCAAAATTGAAGTTGGTCGGTATGGGTTAATACAAGATAAGTGAACGATATACAGCAATACAGTAAAAACCCACATACAGTAGAAGAATAACTATTTTTTATATCAGGCTGAAGTTCTTTTATAATATCAGCATGCGCACATTCTCATGACATCGATCAAACGATGTAAGAGGCTGCGTAACAATGAAGCAAAGCTTGCCCCAAACTTTTCCAGGTTTTTCTGGAAAAATAATTTTTGCAACAAAACTAACACGTTGATTATGTGGAAACGTTCATATGTCAATGTTAACATGGCGCTTTACGAGGAATGCAGGTTCGACCCACAATGGTTTTAAAACGATTAACATGGCTTGCTTTTTTCTACAAGTGAATATTGGCGGGATGTATGCATGCGACGGATCATGTAAATATTTGCTTCATTGTTTCGCAGTTTTTTAAATTGCATCGTTTGATCGATGTCATGAGACTGCATTGGAGCAGGCTAATATAATAGGTAGTTAGTGAGCAACGAGGCTAGAGTTGGTTCTTAACTGGTTCTTATTTCTAGGAATTTAAATGTGCCATTACGCTGATAAGGTCGCTAAGACAATGGGGTTAATGATGGACTCAGGCACACGTCATGTCCGTCAATTTCGCGGGGCCCAAACAGCGTGCCAGTGCGGGGCCCCAAAGAGTCCAAGTCCCCCAGAAAACGCGAGGCCCCAAATTAAATTTAAAAAGCGAGGCACCAAAAGCAGGGCCTCCAAACATATTTTTTTTGTTCCCTGTTTCAGTGTTTCAGCGCGGGGCCCCAAAGACCCCAAGGTCCCCAGAAAACGCCTGGCCCCAAATTTAAAAATCGGGCCCCCAAAGTGCGGGGCCCTAAACGTTTTTTTTGTTCCCTGTTTCAGCGCGGGATCCAAACAACGCGGGACCCCAAAGAGTCCAAGGCCTCCAAAAATGGAGCCCCAAAATAAATAAACGCGAGGCTCCAAAAGCAGGGCCAAAAAAAGTTTTTGTTCTTTCTGTGGACAAGGGGCTCCAAAAAGCGAGGCCAAAAAATCATAGGGGTCAGAAAATTTCAAAATTCGCAGTTCTTCTGAATACTATAAGATTGCTGAATGTTGTGGAAGACGTCAGAAGTTTATATGGACGCCATCATGTTTAGCTATTTTCCGGCCCTGTAAATAATAATAATTTTAATTGTATAAATTGGATTGATTTTCAGTTTCTTTATTCTTTTTTTTTAATACACAGGGAACTTTTCAACGCATGAAATACAAAGAATATTTTTTAATCTTACTGAATTCAGTGTCTAAAATGCCGTTGGGCGATGTGGGGGGTGGCGGTCAAGGGGCCCCGCGCTGATATTATGCCACGGGCCCCGCGGAACGTTAATCTGGCCCTGTTTCTAAATGGTCGTATATAAAAGTGTGGGTAAAGGATGAAACTACGTTTAATATTCTTAACCTAGTAACGTAAAATATAATTTTAATAATTTTATCTGTTTTACTAAGCACATTCTCTCTTTCGCCTTCTCAATTTTATGTCAAAAGTATCATGCCCAACTGCACAGGGTCAAAATTATTGGAATATCATCAATTGTTAAGCTACGAAATTATCATGTATTCACATGCTATTAGCCATTCCGAAGTTGATGAGTGGACTGGGGACGAGTGTTAAAAAGTGCCCAAATTAAGAAATGGGCCAAATCACTAGAACGACCACCTCAAAATTAGTAAGTATACCATGTTTGAAGACGTTTACAAGAATATCCTTCGAATAATAAGCATTCGAAAATGGTGATATTTACTATGAAATGTATTGTAATTTTTGTTTTGGGGGATGCGCGTCCCAAAAACAATCTTTCGAAAGCTTATTATTCGAAGGGTATTGATGTAAACGTCTTCACACTTTGTATACTTACTAATTTTGAGGTGGTCGTTTTAGTGATTTGGTTCATTTCTTTAATTTGGGCACTTTTTAACACTCGTCCCCAGTCCCCATCAACTTCGGAATGGCTAATTCGGAGTTTCGACTGCGCATCCAAATGACGCGTTCTGAGTTGGAGTTCAGGCTGGAGCTTTGGAGGCGTTAAGATGTGCCATGTCAAAGTATTGAACTGTTCAATCATCATTTGTGTTTCAACTTAGCTGCCGATTACATGGAGCATTTTAAACCCCGGGGTTGAACTCAGCCCTGTTGACCGGGTTGAAATCTCAGCCCTGCCTGTAATACAGAACCCTATCAAAATCAAAATCAAACGCGCGATTACATGACAAAATTTTCAATCTAGGATCGAGTTTAAGCTTGGGGTTGAAATTTCAACCCTGCTTCAGCAACCCCCAGGGTTGAACTCGGCTCTGGGTTGAAAATTTTGTCATGTAATCATTTCAAACCAGGGCTGAAATTATTCATGACCAAAAATGGAAGCTTTTACTTGCGGGAATCAATGCCGAGAACGTATAGCATTTAAACCCCGGGGTTGAAATCGTCCATGTAATCGCAAACATTTTCAACCCGGTTAACAGGGCTGAGTTTAACCCCGGGGTTGAAAGTGCTCTATGTAATCGGCCCCTTATATAGTCAAAATAGAACTGTCATCAAATAATTTTTGTATTTTTTTACTGCATGTGTAAAGCAAATAAAGAAAGGTATTAATATTTTCTAATATGTATGCGAGTCAACCGCGCGGAAGCTTAAGCACTGGTTAAAACACGAGTGGTAGTGCTTTATCTCTGCGCGTGTTTTAAATGGCTTAAAAAACTCATTAATAATTCAGGAGCAAAACACAAAGAAAAATCATAAGCGTGTCGTGGTTATATATGTGATATAAAATCATGTTAATTTACATAAACTTTAGCTTTGATTTTTTCGGTTTAGACAAAGTTTATTTTAAAAATTACTTCGCCAATCAACTCGTATAAGCTGAGTCGTTTTTTAAGCCATTTAAAGCACTTGTATTCGTGTTTTATCACATATAAAACACTCCGCTACGCGTCGTGTTTTATATGTGATAAAACACTCCTACGCGTGCTTTAAATAGTATTTCAAACACGCATTAATAATTCATAAGCTTATTGGCATAAGCATTTTCTTTATATAAAGAATACTAATAAGCAGTATTTATTGTAGTGGTGTCCTCATTAGTATTTTTTATATAAAGAATACTAATAAGGCAGTATATCTATCGAATTTGTAGTCGTGTTTGAGGCCGTTTAATAAACTCGCAGGTCGTGTTTTATTAGGTCTAAAGCCACTCGCGCTGCGCGCTCGTGTCTTTGAAACCTAATAAAACACTCCTGCTCGTTTATTAAACAGTACTTAAAAAACGACCCATCTTATGAGTTCATTGGCGAAGAAATTTTAAAAATAAACGTATTGTCTAAGCAGACTAAGCCGAGAAAATCAAAGCTGAGTAAGTTTATCTAAATTAACATGATTTTCTATCACATATAAAGATCCACACCCACCGGACGCGATTCGACAACGCCACGCGATTTTTGATTTTCACTGAACGATAACTTTGATCCTAGTTTAAATTTGCCAAATATTTAGAAGCGTTATAACATTTTGAGTTATTTGGTCTACATATCTTTTTAAATTTGCTCTCATTGGCTGTTTCATTAACTTTCAAAAACTAAAAACTCGCGTCGCGTTGTCCAATCGCGTCCGGTGTGTCTGGACCTTAAAGCCACCGACACGGTAGCGATTTCCTTTGTCTATTGTTATGAATTATTTATGCATTTTTTATTGTTCTTTGAGCAACGTTTGCATATTCAAATAATGATTGGACATTCATTGGAAAACGTTTCTATGCATATGCGCAGTCGAAACTACGAATTGGTCAGCAGGTGGCCGTGGCAACGGAGTGTGAGACTAGGTACGAAGTTGACGCTATATGCCGACCCATTCTCGTACCCAGAGCTTTTCTTACGCGCGGTGCGACGCGGGGCTCTGGCCAAATCCATAACCGGATACCATAAAAACATGGTAAGAAAACAATGTCCGGTGTTAGAACTAGCCAATCAGATGCCAGTTCGGAATATGGATTTGGCCAGAGCCCCTCGTCGCACCGCGCGTAAGAAGGGCTCTGGGTACGAGAATGATGCCGACCAATCTCGTACCAATAGATTCTTTGGCTCTGGGTACGAGATTGTATGGTATTCTATGAGATTGGCTGGTGGTAACGAGGGTAGCCTGCGTGGTCGACGCTCAATATTGCGTGATTAGTATATGCACAGGTATATGACATTTAACAATTATTCGCCTCAGGCGAGGTGATTATCGGGGAATATTCGCCGAGACGAAGTCGAGGTGAATATTCCCCGATAATCACCGAGCCTGAGGCGAATAATTGTGTTAGTATTTTTACACAAGTCTTTTGTCTTATTTGGTACTGAATTTATTTTGATTTCGCTTATTTCTTTATCAGTATTAAGCTTCCACAAAACGGCTAGCCGCCATTTTGAAAATTTCAGTTTTGTTATATTCACCTGTAGGTGACTATAACAGCTTAATACGTCAAATTTGACCAATCAATTTGTAGGATTTGTTATGTTCACTTGTGGAAAAATACTAAAATTCACCCTGCTCGGTTTCCTTTGTTCTTATCGGGGAATATATTCAATATTCTCCTCTAATCAATTTCCGTTTAATAATCCCCTCTAATATTCACCTGCAATTAATAATCGGCTATCTTTAAAACAAGGAACGGGGAATCGGGGAATGGGAACGGGGAATAGGAACAGGGAATGGGAACGGGGAATGGGAATGGGGAATGGGAATGGGAATGGGAACGGGGAATGGGAACGGAAGTGGGAACGGAAGTGGGAACGGAAGTGGGAACGGAAGTGGGAACGCGAACGGCAATCATATAAAAATCATCATTTAAAAAACGAATAAGTTCTTTGTATGTTTGCATGGTGAAAAAAATATAATTTATACTCTGTCGCCCTCACGGATCGAAAGCTTTGTGTATCTACAAAGTACAAATTGAAAAAAAAAAACGAAAAAGAAGCCGAGCTGAGAATGTCCATTTTATACATTCAACAAATTTATATCGTGCACACATTCTGCTATGTTTAATTTATTATGATCTATGATAATTCATAGCTATTTTCGTAAATAGAATAAAGTTGAATTGCAAGCACTGTTTATCGTTAGCCGCGAATGACTCCCATCTTATATTCGGCTTTGTTTCAGCGGTATATCCCACAGAAACGGTCTTTTATTGCTAAAATAATCATACATGCAAAGTGCCATCTAATATATAGTAGAATCTCGCTATCTCGAATGGGAGGCGAAGATTGTTCAAGTTAGCACATGTTCGGTTAACAGGGATTTGTGTTGGATTTCGTTCCACAAAATTTAAGCCATTGCGGTGCATTTTAATGGAATAGCTCTTCGAGTTAGCAAAATTCTACTGTATCACGTTCTCAAAACATCTACTGTTCTAGGTGATGCGCATGCACAAAGCTATCACGTGCACACAGTGTTTTTATAATTTATTTACTGAATGAGTTTCACCCTGCAGAACAATTTTCAGACGATATGATTCTAAAAAATGCTGTTTTTGAGCTGGACCAATGTTATAATTAAATATATCAAAACGAAGATCGCTGTTGACGAAAAGCAGTGGGGTTCTCTAAGCCAAGAAGAAAGAAAGTCCAGACTTGAGAAGTACGTAAACAGTGGCATGGATTGCAAGAAAGATCTCTCAAAGTGTAAACGCAACGACCGTGATGATTCGTCTACCCCGTCGACACCGGTAATCTCAATGACTGCCTCTCGGACAAAAAATGTCCATCTTCACCTCAGAATAGCATGCATAAGAGCACGGTATCCGGAATTTCCAGCTAGTGCCCTTGTTGTTCCTCTCAATTTTTCGCCAACATTTTCTACAGGAACACCGTTGTGAGATTGAACGCGGAGTTTGGATTGACAATTGATAAGTGGAAGGCGGATAAGTTTACTTTTCATGGTATTCAACCTCTTCATTATCAGGCTCGGCATTCAACACTGGTATTTCCGCAGTATTAACTATTAACAATAATCTGACAGCAGGAATGAGACCTGATTAACATAGTTTAGTTCTTATAACTTTTCACGAGTTTTCGGTTGTAGCACTAATTTTGATATATTTCATTATAACATTGGTCCAGGTCAAAAACAGCATTTTTTAGAATCATATCGTCTGAAAATGGTTCTGCAGGGTGAAACTCATTCAGTATATAAAAACAAGTGTGCACGTGATAGCTTTGTGCATGCGCATCACCTAGAACAGTAGATGTTTTGAGAACGTGATACAGTAGAATTTTGCTAACTCGAAGAGCTATTCCATTAAAATACACCGCAATGGCTTAAATTTTGTGAAACGAAATCCAACACAAATCCCTGTTAACCGAACATGTGCTAACTTGAACAATCTTCGCCTCCCATTTGAGATAGCGAGATTCTACTGTATATTAGATGGCACTTTGCATGTATGATTATTTTAGCAATAAAAGACCGTTTCTGTGGGATATACCGCTGAAACAAAGCCGAATATAAGATTGAAGTCATTCGCGGCTAACGATAAGCAGTGCTTGCAATTCAACTTTATTCTATTTACGAAAACTAGCTATGAATTATCATAGATCATAATAAATTAAAAATAGCAGAATATGTGCACGATATAAATTTGTTGAATGTATAAAATGGATTTTCTCAGCTCGGCTGCTTTTTCGTTTTTTTGCAATTTGTACTTTGTAGATTCACAAAGCTTTCGATCCGTGAGGGCGACAGAGTATAAATTATATTTTTTTCACCATGCAAACATACAAAGAACTTATTCGTTTTTTAAATGATGATTTTTATATGATTGCCGTTCGCGTTTCCACTTCCGTTCCCATTCCCCATTCCCCGTTTCCATTCCCCGTTCCCATTCCCCGTTCCCATTCCCCGTTCCCATTCCCCGTTCCCATTCCCCGTTCCCATTCCCGATTCCCCGTTCCTTGTTTTAAAGATAGCCGTTAAATACCCTTGAGACTCTTGAATATCGCGATTGGAACTTCCGTGCAGGCTCACCACCCGAAGCTTTGATGCGGGTCTTTTATAAAGGCGGGTTATATTTTTTTGGATTCTTGAGTTTTGGTTATAGTGTGTGCACTGCGATTGACCATATAATATGCGGTAAACAAGTCTCAGCGACAGTAAGCGTCGCGAAAGCGCTATACATTGTCATACAAAACCTATTTCTAAATCAATTCTACAAAGCTAGAATTCCAGATGACACTTATGGAATACAAGCTATCATGGCGCATCTTTTAGGAACTAATTTAGCATTGTGGTTTTGGACTCTGTGTTCTGAAGAAGTCGATGAGTCTGTTGCGTGCAAAAGCTACCCCGTACCGCTTGGAAATACCGAGAAATATTTTTCGCCACTTTTCGTAGAATATTTACTGATAGCAGCCAGTTTGTTTTACCAAATATGGCAAGATTTGTTACCGACTCAGGCGGTCGCAGCGCCACACTGCCGAACGTGCGCTTGTCAAGTTATTGCGGAAAACGATGATGCGGAAAACGTTGATGCGGATCAACGGCGTGACGAAGGTCGTGGCGCGGACAGAATAAGGAGGGGCATGTCTAGGAACTTGGGACTTGGTATCGTCATGGGTTGTTGCTTTGGTGTCGTGTTTATTATCCTGGTCATCGCATCAACCTACTCTGGGAAGACACATCGAATCTATCACATTGCATATCCAGGCGGAATTATAACCCTTTACCTTATACAAATTGTCGCATGTTACATCATTTTGTTATCTGCACAGTCATTGGCTTGGGATGCGCAGAGAACCTCACTGGACCACGATGATGCTTTGCTGTACATTTCGCTTGTCGGTAGTCTTCTGTGGGAGGGATTTCATCTGTACAGCTTGGCGCTAATTGAGATTGACCCAAAAATTGAACCCGAGTCACTTCCAAACGTTCGCCACATAGACATCGCCGCAGATGCGCTTGCTATGCTACAATATGTATTTCAAACGACCATACTGATAAATCTTCGCCGACATCAGCCGACACAAGGTCGTAGAACGCCGTGGATCAGCCAATGTCTTCTATTCTTGTTGACCACCAACATTGGCTTGTGGATTGAAAATTCATTTTTCGTTGAAATTATCATTACAACGCCCGGGGAAAAGTACACTTCGATTCAGAAAAATTTAAAACCCATTGGATACATTCTACATCCGCTGAATATATTTTTTAGATTTCATTTCGCCGTTTGCTGCCTCATCGCCTGGTCGATTTTTAGAACTTGAACGAAATTAAATCATATACACACTTTATAGGGCTTCGTACTATTCATACTGCAGGGGCCGATTGTATAAAAAAGTGATTAATTAACCATAGTTAAGTGGAAACGTCATCCAATAAGAAGCGCGTATTTGAGAGTTTTCACTATTTTAACTACAAAATAGTGATTAAAAAAGTGATTAAGACTTTTATACAACCGGTCCCAGAGTGTATAAAAAATAGACAATTTCCATTTTTTGTGCGACCGTGAAAATGCGCCCGCGAAATAGTTTGTCTAGTACTCGGATAATTGGTCAGTTGGCCGCATTCCTGTGTATACCTTATGTAGTAGAGGCCTCACGATGTTGGACGGCAACGTGGCAACGACGGCTATTCATACAATGAGATTCATAATATTTAAGGGAAAATGTATAATTAATATCCCACGGCCGGAGTTTGAGACGTCGTCCACGGTCTGTTTACAACAGGAAACTACAGACTTTTAAGTACTGTTTAAGACACGAGCAGCAGTGTTTTAGCAGATATACAGATATGAGGCGAAGCCGAGTATCTTTAGGTCTGATAAAACACGCACTGCGAATGTTTTAAATAGCTTCAAAAACGATCGATCTGGTAAGTTCATTGGCGAAGTAATTTTCAAAAAATACGTTGTGTAAGTCGAGAAAATCAAAGTTAAAGTTTATGTAAATCAAGGGAAATCTGTATAAAGATACGACACAGTTTTTGAGGTCTTGGAAAAAACGCCTGTATTTCAAGACGCGAGTGGTGATATACCCAGAAATTAGCTCAATACTACGGTAGAATTTTCTCAACAATAAAGTCGCTAACCAAACAGTATTAAATTGATACGATCAATAATCGTCTGACAAACTTTCTTTACAATCGTTTATTTGAATGATTTTAATCTGGCCGTTCTCGTTACGTTGCCGACCTACATCGTAATAGAGACATTACGATTTTAGGACGGCAATTAACGGTTACCAATACAATAGATCATTGAAAAGAATTGAGTATAATTACAATATATGAATAATTTAGACGTTGCCCTCGCTCTGTTTACAACGGTAAATCACAGATTTTCACGTCTTGATACAACGGCTGCATTCCAAGCCACAACAAGTGCAACTTCAAACTGGGTTTAGCAGAACTCTTCCCAAACATAAAACCCGCCATGTCTTTAACTTCTAAAACTGTATTAAATTCATACGGTTGATAATATACGAGGAACTATCTTTACTATCATTTATTTGAAGGAGTTTGTTTTGGCCGTCGCGTTGCCGTCCTAAAATCGTAAGGTCTCTAATATCTCTATTATTCAAATGTTTCAGGGTTGGATTTATTGGGGGTGAGGGGGGAGATAAGGCGGTGCGCCCCTCCTAGCCTCAAAAAAGGGGGACCCCTCTCCTTACATGATATACCTATTAATAATATATCGATCCCTGAAAATATTCGTCTAATAATTCCGATCAACAATGATTAATGATTTTATCCAATATTGCCTAGAATGTTATAGAAATTTATTTTGCAAAATTTTCTGTATAGATATATGAAAAATTTTCCTATTTTATCATGTTGTGTATCTTTTAATATTGTCACAGATAAGTTTCGTTATTGATTATAATACTGTTCGGAAACATCGCTATCGAAGGCAATATGGCTGTGAAACTCATAGAATAAGAATAACAATATAACTTATATATTATCTATGTTAGTCAACGTTTATTCATAAATCTGGCCTTCACCGTCACGTGCGCACATGTCCCACTTTGGGTGTAACACCCATGTCCCACTATGGGTGCAACAATATATAGTTGACAGATCAGACATTATTCCTTGAATTTAAAACTATGGTCAGTCAGAACACTATATGTTTATGCACATGCAGATTTAGCACAAAAATCCTCCGTTGGTCTGCAGTAAATTTTTGTCTCCAGGTTGTGCTCCCAGGAAGAAAATTATTTATTCCTGCCCTGATGAGATCTCACTTTATGCTGGGTGGGAAGCGAACAACAATTTTCAAGTAGCCAGTAGTTTTTGACTACTTTTTTAGTAAAACAGTAGCTGTAGTTATTGCTAACTACATTTTGCCTAAAAGTAGCCAAGTAGTTAGTTCACTACTTTTCAAACGGCGAATCGCTATATTGGGGGTCTATTATGGTTAGGCGGTTTTGGCGCATTTGAGATGGCGGTTTTCGGATCATCTCAAATTCTCAATTATCGTGGCGGTTTACGGTGAAGAAGTAATCACTCGGTAATGCAAAATCGTTGAGCATAGACTATATATATAACTCATAAGCTCCATTTGAAGATTGGCTGCCAATTCACAAAAATAAAATCTAATGAAGCATAGTAAATTTGTCATTGAGTCAGGCTATCTGCTATAGAAAAATGGTCGAAACCTGCATGGGAAGTCCGCGAAACTGGAGTTCGTAAATTTTACAGATAAATTCTTACGCAATACAACTGTGGTTTACTATGCAGTGTTGGAAGTTTCAATTTATTATCGTTATTATTTTGAAAGTATCAATCATGTTGGGTTTGCATAAAGTGCGGGCCATGCATGCGAGGCACCCAAAACTCGCGAATCACGCATGAATACAACAGCGTTTCTATTAGATCAAATATATATTTCGGTACGAGTACTATGAGTCTATGTTATACTGTATATAATTTTGAAGATAGCCGTATCTTCACATATCCTCCCTCCCCCATGGTCGACTTGTGGCAAGTCTAGGTCTTATTAAACGTTTTTATATAAACATGGCAAGCGCACTGCAACTACTAAATTCAACGAAACTAACTTTACTGGATAGCTTTATTTGTTGTAGACTGCATGATCAGTGTTCTCACAAAGGTCTAGTGGTCCATTGTAACTATATATACTGGACGAAACCTAAACTGGACTTAATTTATTTATACTATAGAGGGTACTAGCTTGTTTAGTTTAGATCTGGTATTTGTCCTTACTCATCCAGTTATTCTTGCAAAATATATACTTAATTCTTCATTGTCAACATTCGTGATATATCATGCATTAGGTTTTGGAATTCCACCTCCATTAATTCGTATAGTGTATTAAATTATTTTAGTATAAACCTACTAGTACTAGTAGGCTATCACATATCGTGCCTTCTGATTGGCTACGCTACTAGTAGGCTATTAGTATGGCTATTAGTGATAGCCTACTAATAGAAAATTCAAAATGGCGGAAAATTCGCGTTTTGCACTTTTGGCGAAGTGTCTGATGATTTTTTGGACGACTTGTTGAACAATTCTGTACTAAAAAACCCCGAAAAAGCAACAAAAATATGGAATGGTAATTTTTAAGGGTAAGAAAATAGACAAAATAACATACACTCAATGAAATTTTAAAATTAAAACTGAATTTTGTAAAACATTTTACGCGAACAAAACTAAAATATTTGTTTACCTTTAATGGTTTTATAATGTTTTCTTTTGTGTATTTTTGTATTGTGTTTGCAGCCCAGTTGTAAATTAATGTTAAAGTTTATACTAAAACAATTAGACAACTCTGCCTCGTTGTCTATGAGCAAATAGTCAACTCGGCTTCGCCTCGTTGACTATTCGCTCGACCTTGTCTAATTGTTAAATAGCACCAATGAATGGACTTGGGTAGTGAAAGCTTCGCCAAAGCCGAGACAAAGAAATGAGCGTGTCTACAAAAGAAAACAATTATATTTATTTTTACCATGCGAACCTACGTCAAGGATCTTATTGACGTTAAGTATTTTTTTTTATAATAAACGCCTGAACTCTGAAGTATTTTGTTTTTAATTTTCTTTGTTCAGAAATGAAGGGCGGCAAAACATTTCAATTTCTACAGACAGAATGTCTGTACTCCCCCACAAGCTTGCAATAATGAGTTAGTTATAGCGACGTGAAGTATTGAAATTCTTTTGAGAGACATTGCATGTGTTCTATTTGGGTCTGCAACTTGCGAGGAGCCCTGTATTAGAAAAACTGATGACGGTTACGGTTTTCACGAACAGAGTTCGTAGTCTCCAAGACCAAAAAATTTCAAAGACTTTCAAAGATTTTTTCTGCCTATTGTCAAAGACTTTTCAAAGACCTTTGCCGCTTTGCGAGCAATCAGGTGTCGAAAAATTGCGATGTATAAGCACCATTTTTACCAGGTAATTAGTCTCGTCAAATCACATCCTAAAATGCACTTTTTCGTCAAATTTTTCTTCAATCAATCTATTTTATTAGTTAGACTAAAGAATTTAAAGACTTTTAAAGACTTTCTTCGCTTTTTCACACACTTCAAAGACTTTTCAAAGACCTTAAAGACCTGCATTCAAATTTAAAGACTTTCAAGGATTTCAAAGACCGCTACGAAGTACGAACCCTGATCGACGAAGAAAACATGGGCGATTAACGGTGAAGGAGACAAAAATAGGACGGTTTGCGGAGCGACCAACCACCCGTATAATAGACTCCCGCGAATCGCTATTCGCTACTTTGTTAGCAACTTGATAGAATATAGAATGATATTAAGACAAGGTTTGCTTAAAATCAATATGGTGGCACTCCTAAACACTGTAGTGCTTACAAGGGGGTTACTTTTGCTACTCGTAAGTCGATTTGTTACTGATAGGTTACATTACATGCAGCATGAGTTAGTAGATGCTCCAAGATCAAATGCAGTAAAACTAAAAAATAACTAAAAAATATAGCGTAATAATAATGGAAACTTTAATAATTTTGTTATATACTATATATATACAATTGTAAATCTCACTAATTTAAGGTAACTTACAATTGGCTATTTGAATCACAACTATATGAACTAATAAAAATGATAAGACAGAATACATGAAAATATATAAATATACAAGACAATCAGATATTTCAAATAGTTACCAAGTCCGGACTTTCCCATTCCTTATTTCGGCAGCAAAAAATATAGTATGTACTTCGAATGGCAATAGTCATCATTTTCCTAACACAGTACGTTTGGTAGTTTTTGTCCAGACCAACATTTCCTAACATTTCTAAGAATGTAGAGCATTCTTGCGCAAAAATACCTAGGGAGCTCATGGAAAGATTTATAAAGTTTACTTCGTTAAAATTTTCGTCTAGTTGTTTTACTAGTTCTTTATATTTGGCTTTTTTCCGATTAACGTTGTTCTCGAGGTTTGTCTCATAGCCAACAGTGAGCTCGACCACATAAAGAGAGCCATTTGATAACGATAGCAACAAATCCGGGCGATGCGTATCAACAGTTATTATTGAAGGACTTTTGAATCCAGGCACATCAGCGTAGAGGGCAGAACCGTTCACAGTTTGCAAGGTATTGGCAAGGAAGTTCAGGATTGAATTGTGTCTCCACGTAAATCGATCGAGATAACACTGACATCCAGCGACCACGTGCAATAATGATTCTGGGCCAAGACAAAAGGAGCATTCTGAACTTGAAGACAATCCCCATCTGCTAAGGTTCTTGCGTGTCGGAAGAGAGTTATTGATATAGCGCATGGTAAAGTTATAAATGTTTTTTCGGAAGTTTTGATTGATAATAATAATAATAATAATAATAATAATAATAATAAAAATATTATTATTAAAAAAAAAATAATAATAATAATGATTTATTGGTAATATATCCACAGAGTGGCTGTTCGCTTACCAAATTATATAAATTATAAAGTATTCGTAAAGTCTATAAACTATTTTACGAATATTACTGCAATATAACTTTGAATATATATATAATATGTTCGACAGGACAAAATATTACTTACAAAATTACGAATGAACTAAGTTAGAACAAAACTGTACGAAACTATATATACATTTAAATATTTCTTTCTAAGATTATCCAAGTCTTGACCATCTCATTGTAAAACACTCTGTAGTCTCTGCAGTTCCTAATTTCTTCTGGTAATTGCGGAATGGTTAGCAATTGCGTAGCAAAATAGTTCGCTACATTTTTTAAGTAGCAGTAGTTGTAGCTTGACTACATATTTTTCAAGTGGCTGTAGTTATAGCGAACTACGTATACAAAAAAATTGTAGTCATGCATGCAACCATGTGCCCTTGTCCTTGGAAATAATTCATCTCACTCAGGCGAGCTTCCCAGCAAACTGCGCTTGTATGAACAGGTCCTGTGTTGACTTTATAATTGACCGGCAGGAAATTTTAACCAGACTCCAAGAGTCTTTCAGAGTGTATTAAATAGCCGGTTGGGTTAGTAATATTGAACAAACTTTAAATATGCCAAATGTAATTTATGACTTGTCGAGAAAAAATTGCCTATGGCTATATGGCTTTACCCGGAAGCTGAACTGTGGTTGATTCCAAAAAATTAAAACTCTTCCCGCGAAAATGCTAGGGTTTCTATGTAAAGCGCTTTAAGATCTGATCTGAATCTGAGACTATAACTAAGAGTATTTAGTTTTACAAAATACAGAAAGAATCCAGTTTTCCTCGAAAGCTGGTCATGGCTACTATAACAAGCGAAAGCGTTGGAACAGTACACTCGAACGAATCAAGCGAGTCATCGAGTTTATTACAGTCGGGAAATTTTGGATCAATATATACCAGCGTCAGCGAAGTTAGCCAACGACCTTCCACTCCCGCGATGAAGGCAGAATACGGCTGGAATGGTACTATACACTATATGCAACTTTCCTTGAACTTTGGGAGAATATTCGCGTCTTATCTGCCGGTTCATGGCGTGTATTTTCTCGGAGGAAATTCGAAGCAGTTCTGAGATGTGTTTGTCTGCCATGTCATGTGTTAACCCGTGCCCTAACTGACGGACGCCGCCAATATTTAACAAGACCACAGCCTGGTATTATGTATTTGTACGCATATCTTTGCGCTACTGTCGTGCTCAATTTAGTAGTAGCTTTACATAATATTCACCAATCAATGTCATCAAGGGCAATGGCTAAATACGTTCAAAAATATTTCGTTATTTTTAATATGTTCTTCGCTAATATTATGATGTTGCGTCTATTACTACACACATACGCGACGGTAACTCCCTCAACTCAGTCGAGCGAAACTTTACGCGTCTTTTACAAAAGTGGTATCTATTTTTTCGGGTTCTTTAGCTTTGGCTATAGTGTTAGCGTTGTAATCCATTATATTTCATGCCGGCAAGTACTAGATGCGGTTTTGACGGTCACGAAAGCGACGTTTACATTCCTACAAATACTACTCCTTCACTATTTCTATACGAAGCCAGAATTCCGGAAGACAGTCCATGCATTGATATTATCATAGCGCATCTTCTGGGAACAAATTTAGGGTTGTGGTTTTGGACTTTGTGTTCTGATGGGGCCAGCGAGATGCCGAAAGGCCCTTTGAAGGATTATTTTTCTCCGCTTTTCGTCGAATATTTGCTGCTCGCTGCAAGTTTGTTGTATCAAATTTGGAAAGATTCGTTGCCGGGGGATGCGAGAATGACTTTACTGGAACGCCACTGTAATATACTTGAAAATAGTAACAGTCGTCATTTCAATACTATGAACGGAAGCAATACAGCAAGCAATACTTATATAAGGCCAAGACCACATAATCCAAGCTCAGGGTCCGGTGTGATTATTGGCCTTTTCTTTACTGCGCTGTTTTTCGTTCTGGTTGGATTCGCAATTGGATTACCAAAACACACGGACATTGAAGGTTATCACGTGGCATATTCAATTGGGGTCTTCATTCTATACCTTGCTCAAGTAATAGCATGCTATATCTGTCAACTATCTTTGCAGTCCCACCAACACGACCCCGAGAACTTTTCACTTGACCATGAAGAAATCTTACTGTATTTTTCTCTGGTAGGAATCGTGCTCTGGGAAGGCTTTCATGCTTACAGCTTAATATTATGTGGTTTTACAGTGTTTGATTTTGGAGGGGACATTTTAGCCATACTTCAACACTTGTTCCAAACAGCGACCATAATCAATCTCCGCCGACATAAACGCATGCAAGGTCGGTGCGCTGTATGGATTTGTGATGGCGTGTTGTTCCTGCTGGTAACTAATCTTACCTTCTGGGTCCAGGATTCGTTCTTTATTAAAGTGGACATCACAACACCGGGCGAAAGATTTGTACAAATGCAGCACGATTTGGGAACTCTTGGATATATTCTCCATCCACTCACTATATTTTACAGATTTCATTCCTCGGTTTGCTGCGTAATTGCGTGGGATGCTTTCAGAAATAAACAAGAACGGTTTGTTGGCGCGTAGGTGGCGATAATAGGGAGCTTAGATTTGACAACGGCTACGAAATCTAGTACGACTATACGAGATTTTCCCGTTAAATATCTGCTCCAAAAAGCTGTATGTAGTTTGGTTCAAGTGTTGTTTTAAATATTTGCTAATTAATTGCCAAAGAGAGGACGATAGCAAGTCTCAAGTAGCAGAAATTTAACGGAAAAATCTCGTAGTCGTACTAGATCTCGTAACCGGAGTTTCTTGGTAAAAAATTTGTTTATCCAACCGTTAAAAAGTCCAAATTTTTTTTGCCCAACCTCAAATATCAGTTAAAAATTAAATACCCACCCCTGGCCAAAACTTTACAAAAGGATTCCATTCAGTTGTCACACATATCATGTCCTTTACTACTTCTGTGACATGAGTTTGATAACTGCTTGTGCAATTTTCTGCAGTCTAAAGTTTAATGTTGGCTGCACAATGTACTTTCTTTGCCATCTCAAGATAGTGACTCTGATTGATTTTATGACTGTTGACATTGCTTTTTAATTTTAGTCTTCAATATTTGAGTGAGTGATGCTTTGGAAATGACAACAAATTTTTATTTCCCAAACCTCGAGTTGTTTTGTTGCTCATTTACCCAACCTTTTACTCACTCAAAATTTTGCTTCCTCGACCCTTTTCTATAATATTCTGACACTGCAATAGACCAACGAAAAATTCGTTGTCTAATTAGAATAATATGAAATTGGTTTTTCGTATCTCTGAGGATGGTTCTGAAATAGAATTAAAACACTTCGTGTCCTCTAAGACAAGCGTTAAAGGCCGGTTTACACGACAAGCGTTTTGGGCACGGCACCCCTGAAAATGGGCACCGTGCCGAAACTCCCATCTCGCTATTTACTCGTTTACACGACAATTATTTTGTAGACACACTTTGATAATGGGCACCGTGCCCATCGAGAAACGGCACCTCTACTTTCTATTTACGACGGTATATTTTAAAGATGGCGGACACAAATAGAATTACATATTTATACTTATTGAAACGAAGACGATCATTAAATCAGCCGAAAACCGAGAAAAAACCCACTTCAATACTAGAAAAGTACGTTAAGAGACGACAGGAGTTGTTGTTTCGAGTAAATGTTGTTTGTCGTGTATTCATCCGCCACGAATGCGAGAGATATGGACACATCGAAGGACGGCTATTTGGTACGAGGTAGTTACTGCTCTATTCGACGACGAACAGTGGTACCAAAATTTCAGAGTAACTAGAGCAACATTCACATTCATATTAGAAGAAATACGTCAAGAGATATCTAGAAAAGATACAACAATGAGAAAATCTATACCTGCTGAACGTCGACTTGCACTAACCCTTTACTACCTGGCTTCAACGGCAGAATACAGGACAATTGCACATCTCTTTGGTGTTTCGACGTCTTTTGTCTGTATTTGCATCAAAGACGTTTGTGAGGCAATCAACCAACGGTTGTCAAGAGTTATAAAATTTCCACAGGGAGAAGAACTTGTGCAAGTAATAAATAATTACGATAAAAAGTGGGGAATGCCTATGTGTGCTGGTGCCATTGATGGAACTCATATTCCAATCCTTGCTCCTGAAGAAAGTCATTTGGCTTACGTAAATCGTAAAGGATACCACAGCATTATAATGCAAGCAGTGGTGGATTCAAATTATATATTTAGAGATGTCGTCATAGGCTGGCCAGGGAGTGTTCATGATGCACGAGTATTATCCAACTCATCAATCTACCAGAAGGGCAACAATGATCAGCTTTTTCCCGAGATACCCGCAAAACAAATACAAGGCGAGAATGTATCACCTTTTATCATTGGTGACCCAGCATATCCATTACTACCCTGGCTTATGAAACCGTATCAAGTAAGTTCTAACTCTCCCCCTGCTGAGCGTGTCTTCAACTATTCTCTCAGTCGTGCCAGAATGACTGTAGAGAATACATTTGGAAGATGGAAAGGTAGATTTGCCAGGTTTTTGAAACGTGTTGACATGTGTGTTACATCAGTTGTTCCAGTCACAAAGGCTTCTTGCATCCTACACAATTTATGTGAAATGCAGAACAATAACTTCCTTCCTGAATGGGAAGAGGCAAATTTACCTCTGGATGAACCCATATGTAGGCACAATGACATTGTGGCTACTGATGCTGAGGACACTCGGGCAGCTTTGACAGAATTTTTTATGGGACAACAACCTTAAAAGTACTGCTGACTAGCATATAAATTGCGGCTTGTTGCACATTTTGTGACACGATATCTTGCCTAATTCTTGAAATAGTTCGGCTGACAAGATTACATCAATTAAGACAAAATTAAATTATACTTTTCCAATAGAAAAGACAAAATGGAATTTTCTTGCCATTGTCCTTTAAACTATGTTATTTATAGATTAGTAAATTGTATTGAATGTAATTATATCATTCCAGAAACTGATTGCGTTGAGCATATGATGCATGATTTAGGGTGTATTATCAAGTATATGCTCAGGGTACAGTGTTACAAGTGTTACGCTATCTTTATTTAGGTTTAGGGGTAGGGTTAGTGTGTGTAACACTATGTTACACTATGTAATACGGTGGGTTAGGGTTAGTGTGTGTAACACGGTGGGTTAGGGTTAGTGTGTGTAATACTATGTAACACTGTCAACACTCTGTAGCACTGTGTAACACTATGTAACAATGTGTAACACTATGTAACACTATGTATTAATATGTAACATGGTTTAACACTGTGTAACACTTGTAACAGTGTTACAACTGAGTGCCATAATAAAGCCACCCTAAATCGTGCATGGTATTATATGATTGAGTATTCAAGTACTCAAGTACTAAGTTGAGCTAGATGACACATTCATTAAGCTAATTGACACATATTGTTCTTAGTTGCATAATTGCATTTTTTGTAAACATTGCTTATAACTTCAAGTGAAATAAATGCTATGTTTACTTGGATAACAACTGAATTTGTTGTTTTGATCCATTATTCTAAACGGAAATACAGAATTTATATTAAAACTCAACTTTAACTCAAATATTCTTCTTGTAATTAATTTAACAATTTTAACTACAGATATCAACTCACGGGTTTTAGGACCAATTCAATTTTGACAACAGTAGTATTCTATCTAAATAGCAGTTAAAATAGAGTGTACAGTACCTGGATTATTCAATATCTTGCTTGACAGTGCTTCTAAATCCATATTATCCGCCATATTTACATACATTAGAACCCAAGCTTTAGTTCGCACGTAGCAGGAACAAAGTGGGGTTGTGATTGTTTGCTTGGGTTCTAATGATCAAAGTGGGCGTTGTGACTGTTTGGTTGGGTTCTAATGTAAATAAATATGGCTGATTTTGAAAATAATCAAAATATACAGTATTTGCATCTGCATGTCAAGCAAGATATTGAAGAATTCAGGTGCCAATTTTAACTGCTATTTAGATAGAATACTACTGTTGTCAATTGCATTGTTCCTTTATATTAAACCTGTGGTCAACTGTTAAAGACCACGTCAAGTCCGTTCTGCGCATCAGTTCTGCTCATAACAAAGGCAGACCCACAAGATAAACAATGCCCAAACTTTGCATCCTTCGAAGCTTTTTGAATTGAAACGTACTCTAGTTTATATGTAAACAAAGGATTTGTTTACATTATGGACTTGACATGATCTTTAAGCTTTAAAGCCATATATCTATGTTTAAAGCCAGGTTTAACAACAAAGTATTTTTTTGTAATATTTGTTAGTACTCAAAATAATGGGCTAGGCAAACATGCCTTTTAAAATAGTAAAACACTATAACATTGCATCAACCAAAACACATCAACAAAATAATTACTAAAAGTGTTTATCCCTTTAGTATGGCATAGTAAATCTACAACGAAAAGTATGTTTTCTTGCCAATGGACCCAATACTGTCTGTCTCAGTGTTGCCAGTGTCATAGTTACCACTAGTTGATGACATTGACAATGTATTTGCAGGCAAAGGTGTATGGATATTTGGATAATTGTGTGGCATTGGATTCGAGATTGGATTGATAGGATATGGTGACGGTCCTTGAGGATGTACCAACAACCGGAGCAGGTTCATTTCATGCTCCCGATCTTCCCGCCTTCGCTGGTTTTCCAGTGCCATTTCTTCCATACGAAATTTGTGTTCTTTTCTCATTTTCTCTTCCTCCCATTTCTGTAATCTATAGATTATTTTATGAAATGGATTGAATTTTAATTTACTATAAATATCTAGACCAATAATAAATAACAGTAATGATTATAAATGAAAACTATTTATTCATTTATTATTATTTGCATTTGACTGCCCCCCCCCCCCCATACAACAGGGTTGTGATTGAAAATTATGTTTATTTTGTCATTTTCACGGGTGAATTAGAAAAACAAATTCAACAGAAACTTAGGGGCTGATCTTACATTTTTGCATCATAATTGCAAAATCAACACACTGGAATTTTGCCTGGCCAGCCATTTTTTGGCTTTCTACCTTGAAAAGTCATCCTTAGTATTTTCTTGGAATTTCTGGAAAACAACATCCAAAGACTTCTCAATATTGCTCCTTTTCCTTTTTTTAATACCACTGGCACTGACAGAGCTGGCACTTTTTTTGTTCTCTGCAGAATCAGTGCTAAATGGTTGCACATTTTCTGGCACATCATCATCACTGTCCAATGGCAATGCTATATGAAAAAAGTTATTTTTGGATTTATTATCTAAATTAGAATAAATGCCTTAAAATTTATTCACAGCTATTCTCTATAATAAGGAGGGAAGTTATTTGAACCAACAGTTAATGGGAAGAGACTAGTTGATATATCCCATGATCCGTAAAGATTTCCCAGAGTTTGAAATGCCTTCCAAAACTTTGCAACATCCTTTATATTCCTTTGTACGAACCCCAGCTATTATTTATATAGTGTTAACCCTTTATTAAGTGGCAATGCACCCAAATGCATGCTTTATTATGTTACTCTGTCTAACACCGGACGATTTTACTTGTCAGGGAGAGAGTGCTGCCACTCAATGGGTTAAATAATATAAAAGCATGCACAATTTACTTTCATCCAAACCGGCTGTACTTCCATAATTCGAATCTGCTGTGCTCTCACAATTTGGAACAGCTGTGCCTGTGTTTTCACAGTTTGGACAGGAGAATTCATCGTCGTCAGCATATACCCTCACAGAGCCTGATTCCAAGTTTAGAACTCCAGATGAATTGATGACTTGCTCATACTCGCACGTGTTACATTTCTGGACATGTGATTGACTTTCGCCATACTTTTTTATCATATCTGCCAAATGATAATGACAGAAGTATTAAAAATCAGAAATAAATTAATCCCCTACATAAAGACTTATATGATAACCCTTTTTCATAGAGGAGAAAGCATTTTACCCACCTTCGACCGGATCGTCTGTTTCCTCAGTCTCAGGCCGAGTAGTTTCGTCATTCGTGCTACTTTCTGCCATGGTGTCAACCACGAGCAACGGTTCAACATTTGGCTTAGTGGACAAGAATGCGTCCAATTTAGAAAAAAATTTCCATTCTTTCCCTTTACCGCTTCCAGATCTTCGTTTTTTGTCTTTCTCTGCTTTATACTTTTGCCTTAACTTCTTAACTTTGTTGACAACATCCCGGGATGTAAAGCCTTCACAATGGCCATTTTTTTGCAGTTGAATCTAAAAAAGGAAAGATTCAGTTTTCAAATTGCCGAATTGCCGTTGGCCGATTAGTATAAAAATACAAGCGATGAAATAACTTTGTAAATATTACGCAAACTCCGTCTTTAATACAGTATTATCTAAATATATTTAAATGACTTACCAGTATTGTTTCGTAAATTTTTGACGTTTGTTTTGACGTCTTGCAGTTTTCCAACTGCAGTTGTATAACTTCCTCGCCCCAAACGTCAATTAAAAAGTTTGTTGCATCGTCTTGCCATACAACACCTCGATTTTTACGTATTTTTGTATTACTTATACTTGTTTTTTCACTTTGTCTTTCAATATTTTTGGCACGTTCGCCGCTTGCTGCCATGTTGGCGGGAGGACAATTTGTTTTGCGCATGCTCAATGTCGAACACATTTTGTATTTTTTCGAAATTTGGGCACGGCAACCCTTGCTAGAGGTGCCGAGACTACCTCGTGAGAAAGTCTCGGCACGTCAGTTAAATTTTGCGGCACCGGTGCCGACTTTTGTCACGTTTACACGCCAAAAGGCAGAGGTGCCGTGCCTAAAATTTTGGGCACGGGTGCCCATTTTCAGGGGTGCCGTGCCCAAAACGCTTGTCGTGTAAACCGGCCTTAGGTCGTAGCAAATAGCTGTCGTTCGATGCGTCCATACCTCTCGAATTCGTGGCGGGTGAATACAAGATGGCACAACATTTATGCGAGAAAACAACTCCTTTCGTCTTTAAGGGCCTGTTCATATGGGCAAAGGTTATCCCGGTTAACGAGAAAACTTTTCGACTAGCCAAATATACTTTTGTTCTGTTCACATGCATGGAGAAACGTTATTCCGCTTACCGGGTAAAGTTTCCGGCTGTGACATAGCACTGAATATCAATTGAATTGAAAAGTTACTGACACGACAGAAAGCTATCCTGCCAAGCGGGAACTAGAGTTGTGTTCATATGGGAAAAACATTATCACTTGACAAGCGAGATCTCGGTACGTACACGGGAAAACGTTTTTTCTTATATGAACGCAGTGTAAACTAACTTTTCATATTATTTTCATACCAAGGCGAGATCTCGCTTGTAAACTTTTCGAAAAGTTTTTTCACTAACCAGGATAACTTTTGCCCATTTGACTGACTGGCCCTTACAGTACGTTCCTAGTATTGAATTGGTTTTTCCTTTTATTTTCGGCTCATATAATATTCTTCTTCGTTCCAATAAGTATAAATATATAGTTCTATTTCTGGCCGGCATATTTATTCTTTAAAATATACCGTCGTAAACGGAAAATAAAGGTGCCGTTTTCCGGTGGGCACGCACTGAATATCAATCGGAATCGAAAAGATGCTGATACGACAGAAAGTTATCCCGCTAAGCGGTAAAGTTGTGTTCATGCATATGGGAAAAACATTATCCCGGTCACCGAGATCTGGCTTGTCAACAAGCGAGATCTCGGTACACGGAAAAACTTTTTGTCTCATAATATGAACGCAGTGTAACTTTTCATATTATTTTCATACCAAGGCAAGATCTCGTTTGTAAACTTGTCGAAAAGTTTTCTCGCTAACTGGGATAACTTTTGCCCATATGAGCTGGCCCTTAAAGTACTTTTCTGGTATTGAATTGGTTTTTCCCCTCGATTTTCGGCTCATATAATACTCTTCTTCGTTCCAATAATTGTAAATATATAATTCTATTTCTGTCCGACTTATTTATTCTTTAAAATATACCGTCGTAAACGGAAAGTAGAGGTGCCGTTTTCCGATGGGCACGGTGCCTATCATAAAAGTGTGTTTACAAAATGTTGTCGTGTAAACGAGTAAATAGCGAACGTAAACCGGCCTATAGAGAGCAAAATTTATATTGTGAACTTGTCAAGTTCTTGAACCTCGTATGTCTCTATGTCTTCGTTGTTGTTCCTTAACGCTGCCCATTTCTTAATAACTCCATAAATTTGAAACTCATCAATTTGTACTTTTTCTAGTGTTCTAGTTTTCACGAGAAGTTTTTAATTCTTTAATATGACATCATTATCCGCAATGACAAAACGAGAAGCCATTGTTTGTATTGCTATAAAACTTCCCGCGCTTGTGTCTCAGCCAATCAGGTACAAGTAATTTTGCCCTGAATTAAAAAAAAATTCCCTCACTATTACCCAATGGTATTCGAGTAATTTTGCCTTCTGTATGATTACAAGCGTAACACAGTCTGTATTGAGCTCAAGCTATCAGAAACGCAACTGGAGTGAAATCATGGAGGCAGAGGTCCCTTCCGCCTTATAATTTTCTTGTTTAAATTAAGCCGAATATGGCCATGTTTTGTTTATATAGTGTAAGTTCTAATTTAAATTTGCTGTAATTTTTCAGTTCCCGCGCACACACAGACGTTTTACCGCGATGGTCAAAAGAAAGGCTTACGCCCGTATTCTAAAAGCTCACTCACACTCACATTCAACGAGTGGAGGTTCAATCTGAGCTTCTCTCGAGTGTTATTGCTGTTTTTGAATAGCTGAAAGGCCAGTATCGTACATTCCATACTATGTGACTGCTCACCCTCCAGCTATTCAAAACAGCATTGACACTCAAGAGAAGCTCAGATTGAACCTCCACTCATTGAGTGTGAGTGAGCTTTTAGAATGCTGGTGTAAGTCTTGGGTATTTTATTGATGTGGAATGATACCACATTTCATTTTGCAGTTAGCTCTTTCACCACGGTGAGCAATTAGACGTTCTCTCGGTATGCAACCAGGCTTTCTGTAATCATGGTTTAGTGGCCGTTACTCTTTCTTAAACTGAGCGGGACATTTGTGTCTGTGTGTATACTGTGGTAAAGCAGTGCGATATTACATTGCCAATTGGTACGTCATGTTATGCCCAATGAAGTGGAGCGATACAGTATACCGGAAAAAGAAAGAGCAAATGTATTGGGCATGGGAGAATATGTACATGGCGGCATGTGAGGATGATCATCTTGTGTGTAATTGCATGAAGGCTGCGGCTACCACCTGCGATGAAGCATATAACAAAAAAGTTACGAGTTAACAAACTGTTCCAAGTGATATCTTTCATAATATTTGGTCTATTATCAGCGAAGTCTAATATTATAAATCATGAGAAATATAGTCTTACCAAGACATATTTCTATGGTCAAACACAAATGTTGTCAATCAAGTGGCGATTGCGTGGAACTGTATTTTTTGTCCTTAAAATTAATAACTTTATGAATGTAAATGTTTATCAAATAAAGTTCATAAAAGTCCTGTCACACTCCAAATTTAACAAAGCGAAATGTTTTTAAATAGTAACATGAGAATTTATTCCACTCTTGTGTTATACAATGTGTATACATCGGCTGTTCTCGTCTTGCAGAAATTAAAACGCGATAAGACACTCTAATTGATTTCAAACTGCCATATGTTTTGACTTACATGGGGTTACTTAAATGGATTATGCCAGCCAGCGTGGTAAATAATTAATAGAGAGCTTAAGAAGCGACGTTTGTATCCACAGGGACGTCAGATTACCGAGGGGAAACCAGATTAAATGTGTTTGTGTCAGTTTGTGGTAATAATTTTTTCTTTCTTGATGAGCGCTATATGATGCAAAACGTGCCGCCAAAATTATTTATAACAATTTTTGGGTCATGTCCGCGTTGTCCAAAACATCGCTTGCTTATAAGCTCACTGATGTCTGTCTTTCCTAATACATGAGTTAGACGTACAATAATTATTGCATCCTGTTTTTAAACTTACTTTCAGTATTCGTTAACATATATTAACATTAATGTTATATGTTATACAGTAGCTGCTTTCGTGTCAAATCACAAAGAGAAAATATTTAGTTTATCTGATAGGAAAATTCTATTTTTAAATGACTTTTTTGGGTTCGCCACGCTATCAATTAGAGAGCAGTTAAGCAAGTGACATTTTTGTCAACACGGAACATCACTGAAAAATTTGTATAACTATTTTTGGCGACATTTCGCATCATAGCGTTACTTTGGGTAAGGACCAAAAATCTTTTAAAATTTTATTTTGTCATATATGTGTTTAAAATTACTACACACTGACACAAACACAGTTTCCAGTCTGACTGTGCGTGGTAACAAAAACATCACTTGCTTATACTAACTAGTGTCTATCATTACGAAAGGTATGCAGACAGCTTTGTATTATATTGAACCCTATCTTAAAATTAACTTAGGCCCCGTTTACATGAGACCGGAACGAAGTCAAACCGGGACCATCTCGTTTCGGTCATAGTATGATCTATAGTAGATGTTTACATGAGACCGGGACGAAAATAACTCAGACCGGTCTCAAGTCATTCCGCCTTCTGGACCGAACCGACTGACTTCAGACCGGCATGAATGCAGACCGGGATGAATGTAAACACAAATACATTTCAGACCGGTCTCGGCTGTAATCTTGACATTGGAACAACACATGCTAACAAAAGCCACCTGAAAAAGAAAATTGCCTGGCAAGGGGAATAAATTGAAGATTTTGTAATCCTCGTACCGGTCTCATGTAAACATGTTGACAATTTCAATTTTCATTCCGGTTTGACTTCGTCCCGGTCTCATGTAAACGGGGCCTTACTTTCAGTATTTCACTGACAAATATTTACTTTAATACTATTAGCCGTTTTCGTAAACAGAAAAACATTTAGTTTATCTGATAATGAAATTCTATTTTTACCACGCCTTTTCAGGTTTGTAATCTTGCAAATTAGACCCTATCGCAGGAACCGAACCTGCAAAAATCTCAGAGGTGCACAGATTCGGGCCTAGCCATTGATGGTTTCCAATGAATCCCTTGAGATCTGTAAGACAAAGATATATCGGTCATATTTGAGGAAAGCATGCTCCAAAAATGCAATCGTTGCTATAGTAATATTCTTTTGTTGGTGTTTATCCAGCATGGCCGCCATGACGTTTAGTCGAAACTATAAGAATTGTTTCATTTTTTGCAAACGCTTTTGGTTAAGTCTAACAGTAAATATTAGAAAGTTACGTTCGAAATTCCGCCAAAAAGCCCATTTACAAAATCGTATTATTTATACTCTATTGTGTTTGCCCCTATTGGCAAGATGGCGTAAAGAACCTCGAAAAGGCGATTTACCGATCAAAAAGCGTAGCTCGAGTTAAAAATTGCAGATAATTATTTCACATTGCTATATAATTGAGTTCTTGTCTTTATTGTGGAATTGTGTCAAATATATGGACTTAGAACAACGTAGAAAATAAAAAAATCCCTTTACTTTTCAATTTATAATTATTATTATATTTAGTAATTGTTTTCTCTTACTTGCCGATAATGTTACCACTTACTCAGCTTGCTTGTGTGTATTTACAAGCTTCGCTTCAGAAAGCAATGAATAATTTAATCACCTTATTGTACTATGGAAAACTACAAATTGAACATGAATAGTTAATATCTTGGCAGCAGTTTGGTTCAGGAGAAAAATTATAACTTTCGCGTACAGATATTGATACTATTTTCAATAAAGTAGGTCTGTATATAGAATTATGATGGTTTTTCAACGAATAGGTTTCTGACAGGATGTGATTTGTATGAAGGGAAAAGCACGGTGTCATTATACAGTACTTTAATATTCTAATGCGCAAGCAAAACACTCATTTGCAATTCAAAACAAGTTCGCCCACGACCTTTTAACGTTATTATTTACATGCAGGTGTAGATAATGCTCTGAGCAGTCGTTTGAGCCCTAACTTAGACGAATTTGCTGCTGCTTTTGCTGTGTTTTGAGGAAACATAGCGGCAAAAGATTGAAAACGTTTTGCCAATTTTAGTTAGCTGTTGGAAAGCGAGTGATATTTCAGTCCTTATTCTCAAGAATTGCTTCTGTGCAAAACGTGGCAAGTATCGTCAACAAAGATGACAGACACGCCGCTATTGCCAAACATCGAACGAAATCCATTGTGCCAGATGTCAGCGAGCGATAAACTCAACTCAAACTTTGAAAATCTACAACAACCAAGCACCGAAGCCAAAATTATCATCAATGTCAGTGGCCTACGATTTCAAACGTATATTAGTACCCTGGAAAAGTTCCCAGACACACTGCTCGGTTCAACGATAAAACGTCAACGATTTTACGATTCAGATTTAGGCGAGTTATTTTTTGACCGAAATCGTTCGGCGTTTGAGGCAATTCTTGGCTACTATCAAAACGACGGATCCATATTCCGACCTGACAACGTGCCGGTAAAAATAATCGCGGGAGAGATCATGTTCTTCGAGTTAGGTTCGGTTGCCATGAATCAGTTGTTTGAGATTCCAGGTTATAGTACGACCGAAGAGAGCGTTTTGCCCAAGAATAAATTGCAATGTCGGATTTGGCAATTGTTTGAGCACCCAGATAGCTCAATGTTTGCTAGAGTTCTTGCATTTTGGTCGCTGACTGTTATTATTGTTTCCATAGTAACATTCTGCTTGGAAAGTTTGCCTCAATTCAGCTCACACAAGGAAGAACAGCCTTGGTTTTCAATTGAAATCGTTTGCATTGTCTGGTTTACCATCGAGTACCTAGCTCGGCTACTTTCCTCGCCTCAAAAGATCAAATTTATTAAATCGTTTTTGAATATTATCGACCTGATCGCAATATTGCCGTATTACATCACTCTGCCGTTGGATAATGCATCTGGTAGCTCCTTCGCCGTTCTTCGAGTTATCAGACTTGTTCGCGTGTTCCGTATCTTCAAGTTATCCCGTCATTCCAAAGGTCTGCAGATCCTGGGTCAAACACTTCGAGCAAGTATGCGAGAGTTGGGAATGTTGATATTCTTCATGTTAATAGTCGTAGTGCTATTTTCCAGTGCCATATATTATGCTGAAGGTCAAAGTGGTGACAGTGATTTTACCTCTATCCCTGGAGCCTTTTGGTGGTCGGTTGTTACCATGACAACGGTTGGTTATGGTGACAAATATCCAACAACCTGGCAAGGCAAGATCGTGGGCTCAATTTGTGCTCTGTCTGGCGTACTTACCATTGCACTTCCGGTTCCAGTCATCGTCTCCAATTTCACGTATTTCTACCAGAGCGAACAAGGGTACAGAGAGTTCGAAGCAATGGCGGATAAATGGGAGAAAAATGATGCCGAGAGCAAGGAAAAGGATGGTCACCCAGAGTTTTGTGGAGTTAAGGTATGTACGGCTCCAGGAGCACCGAGTGATTGCGATGGTTATGATAAGTTGTCACAAAGTCCAAAAATTAAAACAAAAAAAGAAGAGGAGTTTGAACTTGCACAAATTGTTGTGACATAAACAGACAAAAGCTCCTTCAAATGGTCTATTAATATATTAACATAATATTATATTGAATATTACATTCTGATGACATACTGTAAGTCCAAGCTCTTAAAGGATTTGGTGCTAATGTAGTACTAGTTATGGTGTTTGTAATATCTGGAATTGCCAAATTAACTGTTTTGTGTTGAAGCATAGTTAATAAAATAAAATAAAGGATGTCAGAAGACTTGATGGAGGCACAATAGATCTCATATAATATATGATTTGTCTTGGTCTAAGCAAAAGTTGGTCTGTTCATTGCTGCGTGTGTATCATATTATCGTCCAACAAACCTAATTACCCTTTCCTGGCACAACACAATGAAAGATATTGGTTGATTTGGTGAAAAACCGATGCACACATGTACGCTGAATCGTCCATTTTCTTGCACAGATAATGAGGCCTATTGTGTCTCTATTAATTTTCCTAACCTTCTTTGATTAAAAAAATTAACTATTGTCGAAGTAAGGCCCATTTCAAATATGGACTTAGCCATGTACTGAACCTACTGTGAATGACTTGAATGAGCTCATTTGGATTTATTTGCTATAGGTTTTGGTTATAGGAATTCGGAAACTATTTTATTGTATGTACATTATAATACCATTTTACTCTGCAACTTATCAGCTATTACTAATGCGCCAATCAATAACCCTTTTAAAATTCTGTAATGCTAATTCAGAATATAATTAATAATCGAGCTATTTCCGGAAATTTTAAATTTCTGGAAGTGAAAGAAAGGATTGTCCCAGCATGTTTGTCTCATTGTGATGGCAAATTTCTGAAGTTCCTAAATAGTGAAAAGCTAAAAAGTTTGCTTAGTGTACTATAAAATGAACAATTCCTTTGAAATTACTAGGAGACAATGACACATAACGTACTATCCCCTTCCCCTTCCTCCTCCACCATCGCCCGCCAACAATTTTGGAAAAATAAATACTAATTATTGATGACAGTGACTCGGCAAAATTACCTTTGATAACTCGGCAAAATTCACTTATACCCCCATTCAAAGAGGTCTATAGCCGCTCTTGTGCGGGAATCTGATGATGCAATTTTAAATACCGGAAATCCCCCTTTTCGACATCAAAGAAACACATGTGTATTGATTAAATGACTGATCAATTGGATTGGGATTGCATACGTTTGTACTGTGTTGCGTAATTGCTGTATTACGTTTTAATCAGTTAAGCTCCAAATTTATTAAAATTAACTAAGTTCTATTTCTTTTTTAATAAACTCTGCCTAATTTACGCTTTAATTTTCTGTAACGCAGACCGTGTTGGTTTCGCTCCCCCGAGACGAAACACAGTCTGCGAACCCGAAAGAGAATTCTATTTCACCAATCAGAAATCGCCTACAGAAAATGGTAAGATAGCCCGCGGGATATTTACGTGGCAATATACGCTTATTACAATATTATATTAAAAGCGATATGGAGGCTGTGTTTGAAAACGTTTGCAAGGTTTTTGGTTTTCAAGGATTGAATAATTCCAAATTGAGGCGATTACACATATTTTAGAGAAAGGGAATGACATTTTTACGGAAAATCTGTAATCCATCGTTCGTGTAGTCTCACTCGAAGTCTCACTACCTTAATAATATAAGTCAGTTATGAAGTCTATGAAAGATCAGGTTGGCAAGGTTGAACGCTTGAATTCATGCAGTATATCTTCTATATCATTGAATGAAATTGCGCCAGAACGGTAAATAGGTTTTGATTTTCCAAAGATTTTTGTTTTGTCTTTTGAATCAATAATTTCTTTCTTACAAATTAAACAATTGTGATGTGGACATAATATTTGTATTGGAGTTTCCATCTTTTACTTCAAGTATGACTAGTGATAAATATGGCCCTTTTTTATGTCTGTTATAAATATCAGAGCCATTTTGAGATTGTTGTTATTTATTGTGTGCAGAAAATCACACGCAATACGAAGTTCACACCCAGCTTTAATAATTAAATTTAAAAAAAATAGATAGATAGATGTTTTATTAAAACTACTTTGCAGCTGAAGCTGAATTGCGTAGAAATCCACTACAAATAGTATTGCTAAAGTAGTACAATTTAATATTAATAGCTCATTTGTATTTTCATGTTTACATCAATTAGGGCGTGCAAAAGAATGCTATGTAGAAAAATAATTACAAAACTAACAACCAGAATGTATATATAGAGAAAGTCAGAAACCTCAGTTGTTTATGGACTGGGCCTGCCCAGTACAAATATGGTGTGCTATATTGATCTTAATATGAGTAGCATCCAAAGTCACGGTACTTGAATATGAGTCAACATAATTGAGAATAACTAATAAGTTTTGCACATTTCAAATTATCAATGCTACTGCAACATAAAGATAGGTGCATGAGCGTACAGGCCTAATCTTGTTTGGGGGGGGGATGGACATCAGTATTGGTTTGCCCGACTGCTATGCTTACACAATACACATATACAACTTTGTTCGAGATTTTATCAGGGCCTTTTTAAGGATTTTCTTGTAGGGGGGGGGTATTGTTTTCAAAAGGGACCTTACTGTGACATAATATATTAGTGAGGGATGGCCACGTGGCCGACATACCACTCATGAATCCCTAGGGGGTCTGTGGGGATTCCCCTCCCCAGCAAATGTTTGAAATTTAAACCCCGGAAGTGCAATCTCCTGCATTCTGAGCATCCAAATATGCTCTAAAAGTTATGCTAACTATAATTGCATTTGAAATAAAAGAAGGAAATCGCACAAAGGCCACTTTTGGGGGCATACTCCCCCAGAAAATTTTTGGAATTTGAAGGAGGGGGTTGACTGGGGGGGGGGTTTGCCCCCCCCCCCCCGCTTGTATGTTAAAAATGGCCCTGGATTTTGTATGTGCTTTTATAAACAAATGAGAATGCACTGTTTAACAAAAGAGTAGGAGTGTTTTATCACATATAAAACACGACGCGTAGCGGAGTGCATTATATGTGATAAAACACGAACTACGAGTTTACTAAACAGCTTCAAAAACGTCTCAGTTAGATCACGGCATTGGCGAAATAATTTTCCAAAATAACTTTGTATTTTATAGTTCTTTCCTTCCTTTTGTAAATAATACACTCTAAGATAATTGTTTTTCTGATTTTACTGTAAATATATTAATTAATAGATAACAATGAACTGTAACTAGGGGCTTAAATTAAAAAGCCTGTTAGGGTTTCTAGTAAGTCCCTAGCCCAATATTATTAGAAAATATTTGTAAATATTAACAAAGCTGTACATAGGGGAAAACACATAAAAAAAAATTAGCTGAGAAAATACAAGTTGAAATTTGAAGCGTGTTTTATCACATATAAAGACACGAAACGCTTATGATTTTTCTTTGTGTTTTCTTCATGGATTATTAATGAGTTTTTGAAGATTGTGTAAAGGCTGTTTTATCGGACGTTTAACCGAAATGTCTAGAAACGCTAAGATGTTTCTGTGATGTCAATGTTTCTGCAATCTTCATAATCTTTGCCATAAGTCATCATTCATATACAGGTGTTCTTCATATATGGCAAAACATATTAAAAGCAATTAACATTGGAATTATTATATTTAATTATTCATTGTAGACCAAGGTCCTTCTTATCAACTTTGATGAGAGCTGTATGTTTTGCCCGAATGACACATGTATTTCTACTCAATTGCCCGACCGTAAAAATTGGGGGGCGGGGGGCGGAGCATGTGCCCCTCACCTGGCAGATACGCCAATGAATAGGTGAAACATTGAATTGTGGTTAATTATGACCTTCAAATAAACTAAATAATGACAAATTACATTTTTTTAATGTCTTTATGTGCTTGAAGGATATGTTTGATCACTTTGTTGGACTTTCCTATACCCGTATGAGACAAGGGCAGGTGGAAGGGTAGATGACCCCCAAATATTTAGAGTGAAGGAAATTTGAACAAAGGCTAGAACATAATAATTTAGATTCAGATTATATAATTAATATTACATGAAAATTTGATGCCCCTTCCCAGAATGGTCAGCACATTTGAATGTGCCCCTACACTGCTTGGTCAGCCCAACTGTCAAAATAATACATTGCTACTGGCAAAGGGCAAATTCTTGTAAAAAGAACATACATTGTAAGCAGGATAAGCGAGAAATTTTACCAATTTAAATAAAACATTGGAAATCAGTTAATTTGTGTCTTAATTAACTCATTGAATGACATCACTCCCTCATGAGGAGTAAAATCGTCTGGAATTAGACAGAGTAAAATAATAAAGTAGAGCACATCTGGGTGCATTGCCACTTAAAGGGTTAACAGAATGCATGGGCAGATAGTCGGAATGGCAGCACTCTTTTTCCGATGAATAAAATCGTTTTAGATTCAGTAACATAATAAAGCAGGGTAAGCAAATTGGCTTTTAAACAACAGGCCACAGGTGGAACAACTTTGATTTACTTTTGTACTATTTGTTTTTCCTTTTTCTCCTGGGCTGGTATCTCAACTTGAATTCCATTAAATTTGTACCCACACCCATATCGACCCAAATTTATGAGGGAATGTTGAACTCTTAGTTGGGTTAAACTAAATGGTAAAAATTCAAATCAATCATGATAACAAGTTTGTGCCAATGTTGGTAGTGATGATAACATGCTTCAAATATATAGAAAGAGATTCAACTACCTGAAGAAAATATTAGAGTTATAACTTTGACATTTTAAGTGAAGCCCCTTCGTCTCGAAATTAGTAGATGATGGCGTTCACTTGTAATAAAATGTCAACATTATGCTTGTATTTTTCATGAAGTTGAATCCCTCGATCTCCATCCAAAGCTTTCTCAAACTTCCTAACAGTTGGTTTTTAAATTTGGTAATATTTCTTTGAACATAGATGTTGTTTGGATCAGAAGTTTTCTTCTCTGAAGTGTTGAAGGAAGTAAACCTGCATAACAGGTTAAATTTTAACACAGGATTTGTAAACTTGCCTTTGATGGATTAGAATGGGCGGCCATGTTCAAATCAAATGTAAACTCTCTAGTTTGTGGATATATAATACATTCTGAAAATTATGAATATATTGCACTATATGAACACATTTAAAATGACCTATCTTTCACTATTCGTTCAAAATCACAAGGATTTTATTACAATCCATTTGAACAATATCAGTTAATAAAAAAGCAACCTTTATTTTGTTTAAGTGTCCACTAACTGGTCAATAATAAATAATAAAAATTCAAATCAATCATCATAACAAGTTTGTGCCAATGTTGGTAGTGATGATAACATGCTTCAAATAGAGAGAGATTCAACTACCTGAAGAAAATATTAGAGTTATAACTTGGACATTTCAAATCAAGGCCCTTCGTCTGGAAGTTATTAGATGATGGCCTTCACTTGAAATAAAATGTCAACGTTATGCTTGTATTTTTTATGTAGTTGAATCCATCGATCTCCATCCAATGCTTTCTCAAGCTTCCTATCAGTTGGTTTAAAAATTTGGTAATATTTCTTCAGAGGTATTGTTTGGATCAGAAGTTTTCTTCTCTGATGTGTTGAAAGAAATAGACCTGCATAGCAGGTTAAATTTTAACAAAGTGTTTGTAAACTTTCCCCGGATGGATTAGAATGGACGGCCATGTTCAAATCAAATGTAGACTCTCTAGTTTTGGGGATATATAATACATTCTGACAATTATGAAAATATTGCACAATATGAACACATTTAAAATGACCTATCTATTAATATTCGTTCAAAATCACAAGGATTTTATTACAATCCATTTAAACGATGTCAGTTAATAAAAAAGCAACCTTTATCTTGTTCAATTAAGTGTCCAATAACTGGTCAACAGTATTTAACTTGGGTCTTGAATTGTTCAAATCCATACAATATTTAACACGAAACTTGAGTGTGAAACTTGAGTCTTGAATTTTTTGACTACACTTCAATAACCTGAGTATCAGGCTTTATTTTATTTACTTTATTTCAAATCAGTAAAACGTGAAATGAGTGCGCACGAGAAAAATAAATCCTAACACACTTATTATTAAAATACTCTTCCGCGCCCTTCTGCGGCACACGTCATTGATGAATAAATATCCAATCAAAATCACTTCCGTTTTCAGTTAAATTTACGCGCGTCTTTCAAAGGTTTGACGGGAGAGCATTGAGTAATATACATTCATTAAACAATCGCGTAAATGAGAATTTGTAAAGTTTGTGGCGAAAACCTTCGAAAGGCGGACGGGTCGTGTATTTCTTCTGTTCCACTTTTTTCAGAAACAGTAAACAAGGAGTTTTGTAGTGCACTAGCTGGGTGTCCAATCAGTTGTACTTGCGAACTTGTTGTCGAAATTAGAAATTGTCTTGAGTACTGCTAGTCAACAGGATGATCATTTTGCTTGCAAGAATTGTTCTAGGAAAATTGTAAACTGCTATATACTATTTTCTGAGCTATACTAGTCGTTTGGATATTCAAAGCTTGAAGAGAATCTCCGGTCACGTTCGCTTGAACGATCTCCGACTGGCCTAACTCCAGATTTTAAACGGCAAAAAATCGCGTCCGCAAACAAAAGAACTGCTGGAAACAAGCGAGGAAATCAAGAAAAGCACTCTTCGATAATGGACCTGACCATTATTCAAGTGTAAACGACGAAGTATACAATTTGATGAATATATGTACTGACGCACCCGATGATAATTTACCGCCCGTCACAAAGGTAGGAACTTTAGTGCCGAACGCTAAGTTTAAGTACAATAATTCTGCACACTTCTTTTGTACTGTTGTTATAAATTTTGTATTATAAGTTTTGTTCCATATATACAGACAGATTAAAGGCAATTACTACGTGCAGGCTAACCTTTTATTGAACAAATTTTGACGCTCTGACACTTGCCGGATTTGAAATTGACACAAACTATGCATTTATTTGCATTTGACATTTTTGCTGTTGTATTTCCATGCAAAGTAAAACTATAAACGTTGCTGCACGATAAAGTGTTAAAGAGCATAAATATATTTTTCATACTGTTTAAAAAATATTTGTTGAGTGAAAACATGTTGAATGACTTTTATTACAGTCATAATTTACATAATTTAAGTTAAAAGTGTAACATTTTCAATGAAATCGACAACGTTGTTATTTTGTTTACAGTCTTTGTACGAACTGTTACATGAAGTACATTGCTTGCGGGCGCAGGAGAAAAGCGCGCTAAAACAGTGTCACGAGTTTTTATCTTTATCGAGTTTTGGTATTATCAGTGTGTTATATATTTGTATTGTTGATTATAAAGGAGCAAATAACGTCACAATAACTTGTAAGTAATCCTGTTTCTAGGATCGTTAAGCATCTTTACACACACTAATTTTTGAGTAAACTAACTAATAATGTAACATATTTTTAGCGAATCTAGTGCTGACTAGTGCAGTCGTCAGTGCTGAATAAAAGTATTGTGAAAAGTCGAATTTACGAGAATTGAAGTTTACATCATTCGAAGTTATTTTATGAGAATAGCTAGACACGATGCCACCTAAGAAGGCTAAAGCCACAGAGGCAACAAAGCAGCATGTTGTAGTCAATGAATATGTCGAAGCTACGGAAGTATTGGAATCTAAAGTGGAAACACCAAAGGCCTGTATTGATAAGGATAGTGGTGAAAAGGTTAAAGGACCATTATTAAATACAGAGACGGTGATCGTAGGTACCAATGAAGCCGACGTAGTAGAAATTCGAGAAGAATCAGATAGCAACGAGCCAAAACAAAGGAACTATGATGATGAATTAACACATGATAAAGAACTAAGGTTTGAAATGGCGGTTAATGCAAAACATGAAAGATCTATATGTATGGAAGAATTTCGAAGGGAACTTAGTATGTTACAGCATCTAACAAAGGATTTCGAAACAAAACCAGAAAAGGTAAATGCAAGAAGGGACAGGTATGAACAAACATTTCATAAATTTGTTATTAGTCACGAGAATTATATGCAGCATGAAGATGACATAGAGAAGAAAGACTTAATGACTGACAATTATAATGATCAACGCGATGTCAAACTACAACTAGATTACATGGTAGATCTGTGGCAAACCAATCGAGAAAGATATCTAAAGCTGCCATCAGAATCTGGATATAGTTTGGCATCTCGTAAAAGCAGAAGTAGTCGAACATCTAGTAGAAGCAGTGTGAAAGAAAGAAAGAAAGAAAGAAAGAAGGAAGGAAGGTTATGGAAGAGGCAAAGTTGAAAATGCAGACCTTAAAGGAGAAACAGGAGCTAGAGCGCCAACTTGAAGTAACTGAGCAAAGTAAGACGGAGCTTTCCAGGAAGATTAAATTACTGAATGCTGAAGCAGAGCTAAAGCAGGCAAAGATTGATTTTGTTATTGATCAGATTCCAGATGACGAAGGTGTCGATGGTATGAATGAATACCTACGAGACTTTCAAGGTCCAACTTGCCCTGAAAAATCCGAAATTCCCTACCCCAGTCAACCTAAATTTGTCCCTGAGTACCCACCAACCCCCCATTCTCCAGCAGCACAGGTACAACCACCTGCACCATTGCTCCATAACCATCCTAGCTCTGAACCCAGACCGTATGTACCCAACCTAGCGACAACTGAGTCGGACAGATTTGATATTCCCAAAGTAGGACTAGATGTCACGAGGAATGAATTTTATCCAAATGCTAATCACGAAGCCACAAATACCTTGCAAGAAGAACCAGCACCGCCACCCCAACCGCAGCTAGATGTATGGAACTCCATAGCACAGGCCATAAAGGAAGGCCCTTCTTTACCCAAAATAGAGCTCATGATCATGAGATTCGGTGGTGACCCCCTGGAATATGTAGAGTTTGTGACAAACTTTAAAGATAACATAGAGTCCCAAGTTTCTGATGACTCCCAGCGGTTCACTCACCTGTTAGCGCAGTGTGTCGGCAAAGCGAAGGATGCAATCCGAAGTTGCGTCAACCTTGATGTCGGCCAGAGATATAAGGAAGCAAAGAGTTGTCTTCTTGAGAACTTTGGCCAGCCTCACATTATAGTAGAAGCTCATATGAAAAAGCTCAGAGAACTTCAAATTAGAAAATCTGATGCGAATGCCTTGATGGAGTTCGTGCATCACCTAGAAGATTCTGAGAGAGCATTAAAGAGCATGGGATCCAGCTACTCCAATCGGTTAGACAATGAAGATGTAATAGTTATGTTGATGAGGAAACTCCCCGAAGATGGCTTAAAGAGGAAGTGGGTGGACAGAGCTGGAGACCTTATCAAGAGCAAAGACTATGTACAATTCGATGACTTTGTAAATTTCTTGAAGAAAGTGGCAGGGCGTATAAACAACAGGTATGGGAGAGAGCTTAAGCAAGCCAATGAAGACAAGAAATTTCAGAACAGGTCAAGATTCGAGCAGCAAAGGAGAGTTAACGCAAACGCAATTCGAGGTGGTTTGAATAAGGAAGATACACCTGTAAGAACTGGTCGTAAGTGCCCCCAGTGCTCTGGACCACACGGTGTCTGGAGGTGCCAAGTATTCAAGTCATGCACCTTAAAGGATCGTCTGAGAACTGTGAAACAACACAAACTTTGCAGAATATGTCTCGGCGAAGGCCATTTTGCGAGGTCATGCAAAAGTGGATTCACCTGCCGTGTAGCCGGATGCGGAAAACATCACCATTATCTAATCCATGATAATCAAGACGCTAAAGGGGAACACTCCACCAATCAAGATAACGAGATGCAAAGTCACGACGGTTTAAAGAAGGATGCTGGGACCCAAAGTATTACAGCCGATGATAGACAGAATCAGGTAAATCTATATATGTCTACACCAACCCTACCAGTGACAAGGAACTTGTTACGTACGCATTTTTAGACAGTGGATCCGATACGACTCTTTGTCTGGAAAGTTTAGTTGAAGAGCTATCAGTGATTGATGCGAAACCGGCTAAATACACTATGACGACAGCGAACTTGCAACAACAGAAGGCAGGCTATGAGGTACGGTTGGACATCGAATCGGTATCGAGCAGTGAAAAGTTCCAGCTTGAAGGTGTACTAACCACAGACAGCTTACCAGTGACTCCGAGACACGTAGCGACCAACAAAGAAGTTCAAGAGTGGCCTCATCTGCAGGACATTGTCTTACCCGAAACTGGAGATGAACAGGTTACCATTTTGATAGGAAGTGATCGACCTGATATAATTGATAATTTTCTCGACCGAAGAGATGGAACAAAAGGGCAACCATGTGCAGTTAAGACACCTCTAGGATGGACAGTGTATGGTCCAATGGGAGAACCTCGATGCGAGCAAGTGTCCATTAATTCCGTTAGGTCAGAATTCGACATTCTCGACCATAAATTAGAGCGTATGTACAACGCAGAGTTTGATGACATCAATGACGATATTGATGAGAACATGTCCGTTGAAGATCGCTACGCAGAAGAAATCATGAACAAAACCACCATATTGAAAAATGAGCATTACGAGATTGGACTTCCCTTTAAACACAACCCACCACAACTCCCAGATAGTCTTTACACAGCTGAGAAGCGATTAGAATCCTTAAAATCGAAGATGGAGAGAAACGAAAACTTCCGTAAGAAATACAGCAGCGTTATGGCGAAATACCAAGAAGAAGGAGCGGCGAGAGAAGTCCCCGAGGAGGAATTAGCAATGCTCAAACCATTATGGTACCTCCCTCATCACGCAGTCTGGCACCCAAGGAAGCCTGAGGAACCTAGAGTAGTTTTCGATTGTGCTA